TACCACACCCTATATAACCCCTAATGTAAGCCCTATATAACTCCTAATGTAACCCTATACAACCCCTAAACCCTAAATCCTGAACCCTTAACCCCTTGGAGAAAATGTCCGGGGGGAAAAAAAACTAAACCCTGAACCCCTTCTGAACAAGGAGGGCTCCCCCTCGGCAACATTTAGCAAGCTCTGAGCTCGGAGCAGCAGACGCCTGGTGGGAGTTGAGCCTAAGGGGCTTCAGGTTTAGGGTTTAGGGTTTAGGGTTTAGGGGTGTAGGGTTTAGGGTTTAGGGGTTTAGGGTTTAGGGGTTTAGGGGTTTAGGGTTTAAGGTTTAGGGTTTAGCGTGGTCATAGGGGTTTAGGGTTTACGGTTTAAGGTGGTTATAGGGGTTTAGGGTTTAGGGTGGTTGTAGGGGTTGAGGGTTTCGGGTTTAGGGTTGTTATAGGGGTTATGTAGGGACTATAGGAGCTATAGTCTAAACTCCTTAAAGTGGGGTGAAAAAGGAATTCTATAGGGGTAATGTAAGGACTTTCTGGGTATTATATCAGGATAAGATAGGAGGTTATGTAGGCATGGCATAGGGATGACTGTCCCAATGATGGAGATTCAAATGGCACTGCAAATGGACAACGAAATGGGCACTTGATTTATGTGGGTTTTAAAGGCTTAGAGATTAGCGCCGCTGATTGTGTTGTTTTTCTTGTGCAACCCTAAACCCTAACCCCTAAACCCTACAATGCAGGACAATTTGAAATCTGTTGAGACCGCTCCACCTTCACCAGCCGTGCGGAATCCGTGCGAAGACGGCTGCTGGGACATTGTCAGGTAGGGGGTAGTTTCCATAGATACGGGGACCTCAATATGGACCCCAAAATTGAACATTCCTGATTATAGAGATCCCCCAAAGGGTCCCCTAATGGTCTGAAACTCCCTTTTATCGAAAAAAAACTTTTCCTGGCTTGGGTCATTCCCCACCCAGTAACTGTCCTTAAAGGGGACCTTATTGAGGGGCTATTATAATTCCTATTACCCCTTGTGGCAACTGTTACTGTAAGGGGGAATAACCCAATTCCTGGCAGAAGTGCGTTGATAGCTGGCCGGCTCAGTTCACCAAGGTTTTGAGGTTAGAAGTATGGTCCCCTAGTATGGGCCCTTAGGCCTTTTAGGGGCATTCTAAGGACCCTTAATTATATAGGGTATATAGTAGGTATATGAGGATCCCAGGGTTACGGGCCCATACTAGGGGCCCATGGTTTCAACGTTTCTGAACCGTAGCTTCCATTTTCTTTTCCATTACCCCTATATAACCCCTATAAACCCCCCAAATTGGGTATCCCTAATTTTGGGAAACCCTCAATAGGCCTCCCCTAAACCCTAAACCTCAAACCCCAATCACCCTTTTAAACCCCCAAATTGGGTATCCTAGGCCTCAACAGCTGGATCACTTCTCGGCAAAGTTGGGCTGACCTCAACTCAGAGGACGAGGAGCGGAGGGCTTGTGTGGGGCGTATACAGGATTAGTATAGAGAGTTCCATTTAGATTATATGGGGTTACATAGGGACTATATAGGGGGTTAAGCAGGAATAATATGAAGGATTCTATAGGGATTATATAGGGTTACGTACGGACTATATTGGGGGTTATATAGGAATTATATTGGGGGTTACATAGGAATTATGAGCCACGCACCTTCTCTCCTGCACTCCGCAGGATTCCACGTGAACGAGCGCAAGACTTGCAACTCCGCCACAAAGGGGTTTGGACAGTTGGTACATGTGAACCATAGTCTAGATTCCTTAAAGGGGGTCATATAGGGGATTGTATAGGCGAGTATTATAGGCTTATAGGGCTATTAAGGGGGACACTAGGAGTTTAGATTACAGCTCATGCCAATGCTTTCATGAGAGATGTCATGAGAACCTGCAACAAAGGTTCCTTGTAGACGAACTGGGGAAGTACAGTGCCGCTGTCGCCGCGTCCCAACAAGGGGGGTGTGCCAGGTGAGCTGTTGGGATGGAGTGAAAGCGATTGCAATGCCATTGTCACAGAATTCTTGAAAGTGGGCCACCTGTGTCCTTCTGCGGCTCTTGAGATCCAACACATGAAGCAGACAGTTGCTCCTTGAAAGGTTCCCATCGGAAAGATAAGGCCTAGGCAGCCTGCGCTGTGTTTGGTTTGAAGAAGGGACACCTGGGAATGTTGCCTGCAAGCACATTTGAATGCTTGGCGGGACAGATTTCAAAGCCCCGTCAACCTGGCGTTGCGCACACAAATTCTAAAGGTAGGCCTATTCAGCCAAGATAGCCAAGCGTGTGCTAAACACTTGATATGTTTAAGATCTTCTGGCTGTGCGAGCGCCGGCATTCCAATCCAGAGCTTGGTGCACGGTCTTCACGTGAGTTTGAAGTTCAGCCCGTGCTGAGTTCTCCTGATGGCGGCCTGCCTACCGTTCCTGGTCAGGCAGTGTACCCAGAAAGCCTTTGCATTCAAGATGATTCGAGATCCTGCTGTACTCTGCGACTCGACTTGGGAGAGCACGGTTGCAGGCATTGTTTCTAGTCCATCTCACCCAAGCCACTGCGAGCAGTTGTATCGGGGCTGCCTCCAAATCGGGCTGGGACAGAATAAAAAAGCAGCTCTAGCTATAGCCTCAAGGGATGTGTGGTTGCCCCCGCATCCAGCTCTTCTGCTACAGGGCAGGGCGGTTGGCTACGAGCATGGATTAGCCATCACGAGAACCCCAGAGTTAGCCCTAGGCAGATAACGCAGGAAATTGTTCGTGACATGGAAGATTTAGAGTCTGAAACTTGGAATTAGCAGCTGAAAGCATTGTAGAGAGTCAAGTTGTGGAAAGCAAGGGAAAAAGCACGGTTTACCGGGGATCCGTCGCCAAGTTTTATTGCTGCCCGTTGCTGTAGAACCTGGCAGCGGGCAGCCAAGGCGTGGCCAGCACAGTCCAGGAGTTCAGACACACTGAACATGTTCGGAAGATGTAGAAAGAGCTCGCCATTCAGGAGCATGTTGTGGTCCTGACTGTGGAAATGCCACGCCGAGTCGAGATTGATTGGGAAGAATCTGAAAACACGCGTTTATCTGGCGGCTCGTCAGGCTGCCAAAACATAGATATGGAGATGGGTGAGACCATTATGGTTGGGGTTAGAACTAAGAGTGCAAGCCCGGGAGGCTACATGATCTTTTGAGAACCCGGTGCAGGGAGCACTTGTATGGACTGATCCCAATCAGGGTCCTGAGGGGACCTGCACCGGGCGAGGGAGCCTTGGAACCCAGCCCAGACTTTGAGAGACTGCTTTAAAACTGCCTCTTGAGGCTGCCGCACGCCTGAGGCGGCCAGAAGGATCACCACCATGTCCATATAGGGATTATACTGAGATTATGTAGGGATAAATGGAAAAGAAAACGGAACAATGTAGTAAAGGAGCAGCAGTCTGGTGGCGATCCACTAACCTAGTCTCCTTTGCAGGCTGGGCTATGGGATGCTTTGCATTGCATGCTTCTTGACATTCTGGCGTTGGGGAACCGGCAGTGGTAAAGACATGGGCACGACTTGCAAAAGCACAGGTTCGCATCAATGCCATTTGAGTATGTGGTCGTTTCCATGGTACGTTGATGCGCCACATAGACCCCAAAGTCCTATAATCATTTGACAATTGAGGACCCCAGGTGGTACCCGTAATTTTTGGAAACCCACGTGTAGAACAGGGGCCGCTTTGTGGTTTCCTTGCCCCCCCCTCAAAGTGGATCAGTCTCAGGAGGAAGTACACCCAAAACCTTTAACCCTCAATCTTGCGGGTGCTTTCACCAGAAGGTGCGAAGGGGTGTTTAGAATTTCTTGCAGTCCCTGGCGCTGGATGAAGAATCGCTTTCCACCTTGTGGAAAGCAACGTAGACAGGGTGATCGGCATCCCTACGCGAGAGCATGGAAGGATATATTGCTAGCAAGGATTTCACAATGTCTGATTATGATTTTGCTCATGTTGCTGATTCAGAGAATGCCATGCCCTTGCTCGGCGGCCTGTGAACCGAATGGTGCAAGAGCCCGGTGTGAGGGAATCTACCGTGATCCAAGCGTCCTCGCAACCATTCCAATCCGTTACGTAGGTGGATGTGCCACCTGCCATGTAGACAATTGGTTTGATGTGTCCATATACCCAAGTTTGTTCTTGGTGCCCATGCAGGTTTGGAAAAGCTTGTTGAGCTTTGCGCTAGCTGCGACATACTGCGACCGGTGCGTTGCTGATATGTATGCTATTATATATATTTCAGCATACTATAGTTCATTATAGTATAGTAGAATACACTATAGGAGTAGTATAGTATACTACAGTATATTATAGTATATTATAGTATACTATAGTATACTATAGTATACTATAGTATATTGTAGTATATTCTAGTATATTATGATATGACAGCTCCACGTGGCGCCAGGGCGCAGGGGGGCTTCGGCCATGGCGGGCATGGAGCGCACCTTTGGCCGCCTTCCCAGCCCTGAAACCTCAGCTGAGTAGTTTTTTTTTGGGGTCACTATGAAACTACTACAATGGGGCTATATAGGGTTTAGGGTTTGGGGTTGGGGTTATATAGGGATAATGGAAAAGAAAATGGAAACTACCAGATGAGTAGTATTTTATTTGGGGTCACTATGGTACCCAATATAGAGCAAGATTATATCCTCTTGTTGGGGTATAGTATTTTATATAAGCAACATTGTCTTACTGGGTTTAACCACCAAAAACAACGCTGCTCTCTGGTGAAAAGGACCTGTCTGACCTAGCAAGGTCGATCCCCGACCTTCCTAGTGAACACGGACGGGAAGCTGCCAATGCTATAGTATACTATAGTATACTATAGTACATAGTTTGCTATTGTATACTAGAACATATACTATAGTATACTATAGTATACTACAGTATACAAAAGTATATGTGTGTAGTGCAGCAATTCAGTATGGCTTCATGGAGAGCAAATGATTCAAGCCCTGTAGGATCAGCAGCGAAGTAACTTGGACTCGCTGGTCCGACGTGAGCAGCACTTAGCCGAGCAGTCGCCTGACTGAACGAGATGAGTTTAGGGTTTAGGTCTTTGGGTTCATAAAAGTTGTGCAGTTTCTCAAGATTAGCTTGCAGGTATCAGAAGAACAAGCCTCTGATGTTCATCGGGCGACTTGGCAGCGCTTACTTGTCAGACATCAAGGAGACAAAAGTTTTCTTCCCCTCTTATCATTGTAGATATAACCCAAGTATACCCATACTCAGGAGACTTGCAGGACCTAGGACCTAGAACTGGGTTGGAGCAACAACGAGAAGTAGGATTATCCCAGCCCCTGCAAGTCATAAAGACTGACCCCTGTACCCTACTCCCTATTCCCTAAACCCTGAATTGCGTTGCGAAGGAATGCGTATCAGAAGACACATCCTCAGAAGGCTGGAAGGGATACTTTGTCAGCCTCTTTCTCAGGGTCTAGGGATTAGGGTGAAGGGTTTAGGGATTGGGCTAGAAGCATTCAGAGCACAATGCACGCTGAATTTCGTAGTATGTATTAGTAAATGAAGGATACATCCCCTTCAATATCCCACTGACTATATACCCCTAGTATGCTACGGTGCCTCTGTCCCTACCGATCATCTCCCCAAATATACCCCTAAGCAATCCTAATCGTGATATATTGTTTCCATGGTCTTTTCCATTGCCCCTATATAGCCCCTTAGCATGCTTTAGTGGTGTCATTGTTGTTTTCAATTATCCCATCTAGCCCCTAGCATACTATGGTGCTTTTCATCTTATTTTCCATTATCCCTATCTAGCCCCTGACATACTATAGAGGTTCCCGTTTTTGTTTCCATTCTCCCTTTCTAGCCCCTAGCATGCGAGAGTGGTTCCCATGTCCTTTCCATTATCCTTTTTTTATACGTAGTCCCTAGCATACTATCGTGCCTTCCATTTCCTGTTCCATTATCCCTAACTAGCCCCTACCATACCATGGTGGTCTCCATTTTCTTGTCCACTATGCTTTTGTAGCCCCGGACATACCTCAGCCATGTTCTTTTTCATTGTCCATTTTATAGCCGCTAACATACGATGGTGGCGTCCATGTTCTTTTCCATTATCCTTATACAGCCCCTGACATGCGATGGTGGTTTCCATGCTCTTTTCCATTATCCCTTTCTAGCCCCTGACATACTATAGCCTAAAACCTAAGCCCTGAACTCTAAACCCTAAATAACCCCCGCACATACCCATAGTCCCAACATGTCCTAACATACTAAAGTAGTGTCTTGTTTGATGCGAGCATCCTCCGTATCAGGCCATTGCACCTGGGCATCGAGATGCAGATGCTACAGTAGCCGCGGCCTTATATAGAGATAAATGGTTTTAGGGTTTAGGGTATATAGGGGACATGTAGGCGTATTGTGGAAAATACTATAGGGGATCATGAATAAGGGCGCTAGTATGGCGTATTAAAAGGGGGGGTGTATAATGGGAGATTCTAGGGATATAGGTACCAATACCGGAGAATCAAATGGAAAAGAACATGGAAAACATGGCAACTATAGGTTTTATAGGGCTATAAAGTGGGTAACGGGTTGTGTCAATTTCATGAAGGATTTTGACATGTTGAAGCTGGTCATTTGATGTCAGGTGTCTCCTATGCTCCTCGGTTGTGCAGACGGCGTGTCTCAGATCGAGGCACACAGAAGGGCACCGGTGGGCATGAACTTAATAAGTCTGTACTTCATGATGCTCACGCAGGAGTACGGCCTGGATGCATCAGAACTTCCAAGAGAGCTTCTTGACTGCTGCGAGGAGCTTTTCTTGAAGCCTCTAAACCCTAACCCCCAATTGCTTGGCCGTACCTCCCCTTGGAACCTGAGCTGCAAAAATGGGGTAGTTCTTAAAATTAGGGTTTATATAGGGATAATATAGGGATAATGGACCAGAAAATGGAAGCTACTATCCAGGGTTTAGGGTAGTTCCAAAATTAGGCTCCCATATTCAGTACCCTTTTTATGTTAGGTGCCGTAATATAAATCTATAACCAGAAGATGGCCACAATTTGAGAACAGCCATATGAGCTATAGTCTAAACTCCTAGTATCCCCTTCATAAGACCTATAGTTTAATCCCCCCATACAATCCCTTATCTTACCAAAAGGGGCCCGTAATTTTGAGAACGATCCAAATGCTGTGGCTAGGAGCAAGCCATGTCTCTGCTAGTGCCGGATCAAGTCAGGCCCCCAGGCCCGGACAGGATGGACTGCCGCAGGGCTTAGGGTCTAGGGTTTGAGGGTTTAGGGTCTGAAGGTTTTAGGGTTTAGGGTTTTAGGGCTTAGGACTTGTATTCTTGATAATCCACTCTAACCGCCCCCCACCCACCCCCTGATATTAGATATTCTCCAGCGTGGTATATTAGGATATATTGGGAGTATTTAATATTACGGGGGGTGGGTGGGGGCGGTTAATATTGAAGGGGGAGGGGGATCACATACTTAGGGCCCGAAGAAGTTCCCATATAAGTACCTGGGGGTCCAAGGATACTATGCTAAAGCTCGTGCTTGGAAGAACCTGAGGCTGGCAAGATCTCGGGCATGTACAAGGGGCCCATTCCTTTGATGCGCGAGGCCGTGAATCTGTATTCAGCCATGTTGGTTCAGATTGCCTTCAGAGGGTGTGCCACACACCCAAGCAGCAAATTCTGCAGGCATTCGAGAACACAGAGAGCTTGGGCTCAACCACCGTGTGCGGCAGCCTCAAGCAGCAGCAATTCTGAGATACTTGGAACAGAAAAACACTGCCAAGAAGCGCATCCTTGGCTGACCAAGCGCTGGTTTTCCTCTCAAAGCATGATCCTTCGGGCTGTAGCCTCTTCTTGAAGCTCCCTGCCGCCTGGTGGTGAGCCATGCAGCTTCTCAAGTCTGTGACATACGAGGCCAGCATAGCTTACGGTCATGTCCATGTGGGGGTTGTTCTAAAGGTCCTTGTAAAGCAGGGACCATTGGGAATACACTTCCTTAAAAGAGGATCCTAACCAAACAGGGAACCTACATTATGGCCATTTGTGGGACAGGTTTTTTGAACAACCACCATGTGACGGATCACTAACTCTCCTGTGGACTTTGCGCCTCTTGGCAGCTTTGAAACAAGCTCCTGCAAAGTGAAGGCACCGCGGTGGGCAGCATCATTGAGGGCGCCGGACCGACGCTTTCGCCTGGGTCACCTGCCGACACCGCTGCACCTCAGAGTCAATATTATTATTGTTGTTGTTGGCCCCGTCGCCATGTCACTATTAGTATGAATTTTAATATTCTGATTATTAGTAGTATTTGTATTAGTAGTATAATCTACACCCGCAAGCCCATAGATGCTCACGTGCTAACAGCCTAGGGCCTAGCCGCTGACATGGACTTCCTCAGCATGTCAGAAGTCCCAAGAAACCCCATCCAGAATTATTACTAACTATCACTCTCACCTTACTATTACTATTGCTATTACTATATTACCATACTACTATACTACGATATTACTATAGTGTTGTTTGAATATATTCCTATTTTACTATATTACCATATTACTATATTACTATAGAATACTATATTATTGTATTACTATATTGTACAGCTAACTGCCTGACCTTTGCTCAGGATGCCGTGGAATTGTCCGGCTCTGCGCGACCTGAACGTGCCTCTAGACTGCACTCAGCCTTATGCCTTTGAGCTACAATCTAAACTCCTTAGGGTGGGGTATATAGCGGCTTCTATAGGGGTAACGGCACATGAAAGCTTCTATTTGGGGTCATATGATATAGGGTTTAGGGTTTAGAATTTAAACTCCTTCAAGGGGGTTATTTCGGGGACTGCTACAAGGGTTATAAAGGGGGATACTAGGAGTTCAGACTCTGGCTGATTTGTCGTCAGCCTTGTATTGGTCATCATTTTAGGCACCATGAGTGTGGCGCAGCTTTTCGGATTTTGCGGTAGTTCGCCTTGAGAGTTTTCGTCTAAACGCTTCAAACAGGGGGGCTTATATAGGGGACGATCATAGGGCTTGCTAATTAGGGGGGATTAGGAGTTAGGACTATGGCTCATAATTATTTATCCCCATAAAACACCAACATAACCCCAACATATACCCTATATTTCCTATAGTTTCCAGTTTCTTTTCCATTATCCCCATACAACCCCAATATACAACAAGCAATGCCGCAGAGGACCTGGGCCATCAAGCGCGATGACATGACTGGGGTTGAGCTGACAGGAAACAAGGTGGGGATACATAGGGATCATGGAAAAGATGGAAACCACCAATTAGCTTTTAGGGTTTAGGGGGGGTTTAGGGTTCAGGGTTTGGGGTTTGCAGATTAGGGCAGCTCTGCCGCTGAAGCTCAGCGAAGTCAAACAAAGAGTAATAGTAAGAACAATACTAGTAATGGTAATAGTAGGAATAAAGACTAGTAAAAAACAACGATATACGTAATAGCAATAAACAAAGTTAGGAATCCTAATATTCATGGTAGCACTACTTGTAATAATAATGGTAGTAGCAAGAATAAGAACTCTTCAGCATTCCCTAAACCCTAAAACCTTAAAGCTGAAAACCCTAAACCCTAAAAGCCTTTAACCCTTAACCCTCAAAACCCTAAACCCTAAAAACCTTAAACCCTTAACCCTCCAAACCCTAAACCCTGAATAGTAATTTCCTTTTTATTTTTCCATTGCCCTCAGACCCGAAAGCTGGAGTTTCTGATCGCGGAAGCATTAGCAGGGGACCATGACTCAGTGGTCACCGTGGGCGGTGCCTTTGATGGCATGAGTAATTCGTGTTACTTAATGGGTAATAGGGGCTTTATGGCTTAGGGTTTGGGGTTTAGGGCTTAGGGTTTAGGGTCTTCACTTTCGATGGTGGGTCTAGATTCTAGAAAGCCTGTTGCCATGACCCCTAAACATTAAAGCGTGCCCAAGAAGGGACCATCATCTATGGGTGGTCCCCAAACGTAGGTACACCTAGATAACAGGTGTGTCGAGGTGTGTAGGCCCGGAATTTTGAGATTAATATGATTTAGGGTTTGGGGTTTAGGTGTATGGATTCAGGAGTTCAATCGAACCACTGCCGCGCTACAGCTGCTGCAGCCCGTTTGGCGGGCTTGGAACCTCACCTGGTCCTGCTGGTCAAGGATACGGTGGCAGATGAGGATCCAGGCAGTCATTTGGCAATTTCTCCACAAGGGGCTCAAGGATATCTATATATATATGTATATGTATATATATATATTTATTTATTTATATGTATGTATGTATATATGTGCATATATATATATACACATATACAGAGGGATTTAAAAGTGATTATAGAAGTGCCCCCGGAGAACAATGTAGAGATGATTTCGATAAACTGTCATCTCATCTTCCACGCCCTTGAAGACAAGGTCCCCCAATTCAGAAAATAAATAAACCAAACCATACCTGGGTAGGCCCCTGGGATATTTAACATTTTCCCTAATGGCTTTCATAAGGGACCCTATATACTAATATTTTTCAAAGGATTTTAGGGGCCAACCCAGATACTAAACCCCAAACCTGTTCTACCTTTTTTTGCTTGCTGCCGTCGAGCTGCCCTGGAAGGAATGCAAGGCAATCTGCTGATTGGGCGCCTGATGGGCGCAAAGATCCATGTCTGCACTGCCTCTGAATACTACAAACTGGGAGGAAACTGGGCTGCTGTCAAGGAACCTAATTCAAGTTACTATATTGGGGAAACCCTACTATTTACTATATATACCCAGTACCTATTTTTTTCTATGTATACCCAATGGTAATTTATTTTAAGTGCCTTGAATTTAAGTTCCTTACAAGCAACCCAGGAAATCTGCAAGCCGCAGATGCTTTGAACCAGAAGATTGCAGAAGATCTACGAGCCAAAGGTCATCGCCCCTACGTCATCCCAGTAGGAGGGACCACACCCGTTGGGACTTGGGGCTATCTCCAGGCCTGCCCGGGTTTAGGGTTTGGGGGGGCGGGTTAGGGGGGTTATAGAGGGGATATGTATTAGGATAAAGGAAAAGAAAATGGAAACTACAATTTAGGGTTTAGGGTTTTCAACATCATGGACCATATTCCATACATGAGCCATAATCTAAACTCCTCAAAGGGGGTTTATATAGGCATTGTATAGGGGAATGCTATAGGGATTACCAAGGGGCATACTAGGAGTTTAGACTAAATCTCACATACATTAGACTACATAACCTTTTCTAGCCCAACAACATCAAGTTTTACAGGGCCCCTTAATCTATCCCAGTGAATGCTGTTGAACCTTTGCCTCTCCTTGTCCCTGCTCCCCTTGAGCCGGGGGAAGGTTCAAAACATTGCTCAATTCAAATAACCTTTAATCCCCACATATTCCTTATAAAGCCCTAAAGCCCAATCTAAATAACCTTTAATCCCTACATATTCCTTATAAAGCCATAAAGCCCTAAACCCTGCACCCTGAGGCCGTCGAGGAGCTGAAGGAGCAGATTCTGGAGCATGGAAACGTGGACCATGTGGCTGGGTGGCTTTTAAGGAACTCGGTTTAAGTTCCTATATTGGCTGGGTAGGCCCCTGGGATATTTGATATTTTCCCTAATGGCTTTAATAAGGGACCTTATATACTATTTTTAAAGTCAGTTTAGGTTACTATATTGGGGAAACCATATTCACTACAATATACCATTCCCAGTATGGTAACTTAATTTAAGTCCCTTAGTTACTATATTCGGGAAACCATATAATTCTTTGTTATATATACCAAGCCCAGTACAGCAACCCAGGTGGTGGTGGCCGCGGGATCTGGAGGTTTGGGGTTGAGGGGTTCAGGGTTTCAGTGGTTCAGGTTTTTGTGGTTTGGGGATTTAGGGAGGTTTTTGTGGTTTGGGGGTTTAGGGTTTAGGTTTTTGTGGTTTGGGGTTTAGGGTTTGAGGTTTAGGATTAAGGGTTTAGTGTCTTGGGTTGAGGGTTCGGATATTGAGGGTTTCAGAGGTTGGGTTTAGGGTCCAAGCTATAAGCAGATAGTAATCTATGGCACCTTCTAATTTCCAGTATGGAACATTACAGATGGTAGTTTCCATAGCAGAACCCAAAACGTTACAATCCTTTTTAAAGGGACTCCCAAAAAGGGACCCCACATGGTTGGAAACCCTCAGCAAACACTAGTGTTCCGTGATGCACCTACCTAGTCTGGAGGTACTATGGCAGGCCTGGCAGTTGGTTGTTACTTGGGGGGCCTGAAGCTGCAGCTACATGGCGTCAACATCCAGCACACCCCGGAAGCCTACCTTGATCTTGTGGCCAAGGAGGCCGAGGCCTTGGGCTGTGCAAAGGATGTGGTGGCTTCAGTGGTAGACTCTCTGAATATCTATAATGGAGCTGGCCGCGGTTACGCTGTGCCCGATGAGAAGGACTTGGCGTTTATTTCGGAGGTTGCAGCTACATCTGGCGTGGTCTTGGACCACGTGTACTCCGGCAAGGCTCTCTACCATTTCTGCGAACCGCTGCCGCACATATGAGGGCGAAGCTGAAGTAGGATGGCAGGGTGACCATGATGACCAGGTGCTCTGTTTGTTTAAGTTCAGTGTTTAGACCTTGCAGATGCTTATACAATTACAAATCAGTGGCTTGAAGCAAGGAATATGCCCGGGCACACCCCGAGAAGTTCAGCAACTCGCGAATTCTCTTCTGGCACACGGGTGGAATCTTCGGCCTTGAGCCTCAGCAGGAAGCTCTTCAGAAGCTCTTGCCCGACAAAAACGTGCAGCGGGCAAGACTCTAACCTCTAGCGCCTTCCGCGCACTTTTCTCAACCTTGACAAGATTGGCAGAAGATTGAGCGGAGCGAAAGCAGCGGCGAGTTGCTCCCCATGACTTGCAAGAGGAATCATGCTTCAGTTCTGCAAGATCACAAAGCTCTGTGCCAGTGACCGCACTCATCAGTCCGTCATGGACCTACTAGAGAGCAGCCAGAAAAGCACGGAAGATGGAGAGATCTGCGAGAGCATTATTGGTGGGCAACTCTTACGTTGATGACTTTGTGGCGTGGTTGGCATGTCTGCCCCAACCTGGATTCAAAAGCAACCCTGTCACACGGCAGTGGAGATGCAGGATTGACTAGGTGAGCAGGTGCTCCTGCAAGAAGGTTTCACTCTCTTCTGTCTGTACATCCGTGACTATCAGAGCACAAGGGGTCAAAGGACTGGCTTAAAAGCATTGTCACGCATAAAGTTGATTTAAGACTCGAAAGCCTTGAGGGGAGGTGATATAAAGTACCATTACTATTATTAGCACTTATTACCATTATTACTACAATTAGTACTACAATCATGATTGTTGCTACTTTTGTTTTATTACTGCTAATTATCATTGCTATTATTGTTACATTATTATTATGATTACTATGATTAATATTCTGATTATTCTGATTATTTATACTAGTATTAGTATGATTATTATGATTAGTATTATGGTTAATATTATGATTATTATTATTATTGCCGAGGCCTTTCCGTACTGGACAACAGTACACGGATCCACGGCAAGCTGCATCCCATGATGGCCATCATCTCTATAGGCTGTACCGGGAGGGCAAAGAAAATCTACGGCTGAAACCTTGGGCCCCCTAGTTTAGGGTTTTGTGGTTTGGGGTTTAGGGTTTAGAGTTTAGGGTTTAGGGTTTAGGGTTTAAGGTTTAGCGTTTGGGGTTTAGGTATGGGCCCTTAACCCTGGGATCCTTATATAGACCTACTATATACCCTACATGTACCCTTAAGGTTCCCTAGAACCCCCCCTAAATTGCCTAGGGGCCCATACTTGTAACCTCAGAGAAAAACAGGCTCCCTACCTTACTGGGGGATATAGGGGATATATAGGGGTTGTAGCGATTATATAGGGTTTATCTAAGGATACATAGGGGTTATATAGAGATTTTTGGGGGTTATGTAGAGATCATCTTGGGAAGCTAGAAAAGAAAGTGGAAACCACTATTTACAGTCCCCCTTAAGTAGATAGAATATGGCTTTGGGTATATTCTAATAAGATCCCCCTGTACCCCATATTCTATCTCCTCAAGGGGGACTATATACCCCAAACCCTAAACCCTAAACCGCACATAATAGTAGTTTCCATTTTCTTTTCCATTATCCAAGGTATACCCCATATTATATCTCCTTAAGGGGGACTATAGGGTTGAGGGCTAAATGGTTAAGTGCCCATGGCAGAGGCGACTGCGAGCTGATGGTGCTCCGGCAAAGCATGTCCAATGGCAGACTGCAGCCCAGGCCTCAGATGAGACATAGCCTAAACTCCTTAAAGGGGGTTATATAGGGGATTATATAGGGGACTATTAAGGGGGATACTAGGAGTTTAGACTATAGTTCGGATGAGCTATAGTCGGGTTTAGGGTTTAGGGTATAGTCTAAACTATTCTAAACTCCTTAAAAGGGGTTATATAGGGGATTATATAGGGGTAATGGAACATGGAAGCTACCATCTAGGGTCATATGATATAGGATTTAGGGTTTAGGGTCTAAATTCCTTCATTAGGGGTTATATGGATTACATAGGGGATTACTCTAGGGCTCACTGAGGAGGATACCAGGCGTTTAGGCTGTAGCTCATGTGGATATCCCGGAGGTCGTCAGGCTGCATAGGCCAGAGTGCATGCAAGGTATGAGACGGTGTTCAATACAGAAATGCAGCGCATCGGCGGGAACTGCCAGTGCCCGCTGCAGGCACGATTTGAATTTGGGCAAGCATACCAAAACCCTCCAGACTGTCTTCGTCCCTCCAGATTTTACTGCGAGAGCTGTTGCAGGTCTGCCGCGTGGACGGCAGAATCGACGCTAGCTTCGACGAGAGGATGACCATTGAGGCCTCGAAGACAGCGCTGGGACATTCATGCTTGTAGAGACAGCTCTGCAGCTTTCCAGGTAATCGAGAGAGGAAGCGCCGTTCACATGGCAGCTGCCTTAGTAAAGAGCAGCAGCCACGCAGTTCAGGAGCTTGAGATTCCGTTGCTCTGTCTCAAGTCCTGCGCAGCTTGCGTGTGCTGAGCACTTAGGTTTCTGTGTACGAGGCGAAGCAATGGCAGAGCTGAGTTCATGTTCCTGCTTGCTTTAGTCCTTTGCGATGCAGGGCGACCTCGTAGTCATTGGCAGCGATGGCGTTTTTGACAACCTCTTCAAGGATGAGGCCGAGCTCGGCTGTTGTCGGGTACAAGTGGCAAGTTTACCTATTGTCAGGTAGTTGCGATCATCAACCAGATGATTCCGCGACCCTCCACTCCTGGTGAAAAGCCGTCAGCTTAAGGGCGAAGCTCTTCATTGTCTGACAGCAGCGGCTACGTAACATGACGTCTGACAGTAAAGTGATTGAGGTTTCGGCCACTGAACAAGGCCTTCATGGGAGAGGCGCGCCTACGGTAGCAGAGGGGTACGCCTGGAGGGTCGCATCGTACAGCGTGCGTGCCCAATTAGCGTTGTTATGCGTGGAGGTATTAACTTGCCCGCCATAGGACTTTCCCAAGCGCAGCTCCTGCACCAAGCTGCAAGCCAAAGCTGCGAGGCACCCACGAAACATGCTCGGGCTCAAGATGTAGTGAACATGCACATGAATCGCAACCACCTTTTTCGTGAAGTTGCGCCATGGAGACTATATGACATACTCTCCATCGCGTAGCCATAAATTGATGCCAGGCAGGTGCTAGAAGAAGCCAGGAGACGGTGCAGATCCGATCGGCATCCCAATCAGATCTGTCGCAGCTTCTGGCTTTAAGCCCTTGTAGCACTGCAGCAGGCATTCCTGTGGTGGATCCAGACTGGCAAGCTGTGAGCCGACGTCTGCCTTCACCTTGGCTGCTGTAACCAAGCATCGAGGGGTACATGCACGCCAGCTTTTCCGAGCAGACTTTGAATGTGGCACTCTGTAAAGTTGACCTTTTTCATCAAGAAGGCCGCGGAGGTGAGGGCGATGAACAAGGGCTTTGACGTAAAAGTGAAAGTGTTGGCAACACATGACGCTGCCAAGAATTGCTATGCGAAGTCGAGAGACCTACGCGTGTTACATCGTTGATCCAGACAACCTTGACATCAAACCAGAGAGAGCAAGGTGTTCTGTTGGTGGGAGGTATGGGTCTCGCCTGTGGCTAGCTCGAAGAAGAAGAAAAGACCAAGGCCAAATTCGTCGAGTTGCCTGGCGTCGGCCGTGCGCACAAGACGGGAGATCTCGCTTCCTGTGACCAGTTTGGCTGCATCGACTACCATGGTGCAGTGGATTGGCAACTCACGGTGCGTTGGATTCGCATCGAGCTGGAAACATTGGAGCGGGCCATCATCGAGCTGCCCTCTGTGATTCATTGTGAGGCGCTGGGCTCACAATGCGTGCAAGTCATGAAGCGGTTCCAAGGACAGGACACTTTGTTTGCCTCACGATAGGTGGTCGTCTCTTGAAACTGTGAAGTGTCATGGGACGTTTTAGGGGTTAGGTACGGATGTCCGGAGGGCGCTGCTCCGCATCCCGTTTCCGATTGTTGCTGCGGCTTTGGCTGAGACTTGGTGAGTGTTTGCCTGTGTTTTGGACAGCCGCTAGCGCTTTTTCTTTCAGCTTCTGGAAGAGACGTCTGCGAGGCAGAACTCAAGGGTCGCCCAGCGTCGCTGGAGCGTCTCTATTTTGAAAGCCAAGCGAAGATTGTTGAGAACGACGCGAGGAAGTTTTGGCAGTTCAATGCTTCTGGAAAGATGTTGCGGAACGTGTTTTTGGCTGAAGAGCCTAGACCGCATAGTGACCGCAGCACCTAGAACACGGCAGATATGCGTTCCTTGCTAACGTCGAACTGATTGCTTTCGGGATGATCGGGGTCAATCTGGGGGTGAAGAGGACATGCCGGAAGTGAAGAAAGATGCCTGGGAAGTCTTTGAAAAGAAGTTTCGGATCTTGAGCTTGAGATCGCAGCGTGGGGGCTCCACAGTTGAGCGTTGACAGTTGGAACCGGGATTCGCATTTCATGGAGGATCTTGGTGATGACTCTGCGGGGGCTTTGGACGACTGATCTCTCAGACGAGGTCCAAGCCGAGCTCGCAGAAGATTGATTTGCTCCTTAGCAGCGGATTCCAAGGATGAGGTCATTTTTCTGGAATCAAACACCTGCTTCCCTCGCGCTGCAAAACAACATCCCCATGCGGTTGGCGCATGCTATCTCACAATGTGTACATAAATGCGGAGCACACGATAGCAAGACCTTGACGCTTGGCATGCACGATGAAAAACGAGTGGCGAAAGCTGAGCCGCTGCGATGTAAGCTGGAAGGCAGCATCAGGAAGGGAGCCTGCCCAATGAAAAGTCTGGCCCTTTCTGTCATTGGCGCTCCTACAATGCAGGTTGCGAGATACATCGTGGAGGCCTGTCACATGAAGACAAAGGCAGCTTGCTCAAAGTCACCATGCCAGGCGCACTCTCATTTCAGGTGCACTCTCATTTCGTTGTGTTTCGCCTCTCCGAGGCAGACCTTCGCACCGGCAAATATCCCGACACGCCCATTGGCCAGGTCCTCAGTGAAGTCTCGTTAAGCTTTTCCAGAGAATTAGCAGCTGAGGCAAGGGCGGAAAGCGCGACGACACCTGCTGCGTTGTCGGCGAGGTCGTGGAGTGGACGGAGGCCATTAGATTCCGTGGAAGCATGCTCTCACAGCACTGCACATGCAAAGACTTGTGATACACCTGGTCTGGCAGATGGACTGCATGTACTGGGAGGGCGTTCAGAGGCGGAGGAGAATGAAGGACAGAAGCATCTGAGCGTAGTAGTTTCCATTGTCTTTTCCNNTCTTTTCCATTAACCCAATATATACCCAAGATACTTTAGTAGTTTCCATCCTCTTTTCCATTATCCCAATATAACCCCATTATCCCAATATAACCCCATTATCCCAACATAACCCCACATAACCTAGTGGAAACCACAAGCTGATGGCGTGAGCTTAGCTCCTAGCAGGAGCTAGTGACCTGCGGTGGGGCCGACACCTCGGAGCTTGACATAGCTGGATCTTTATAGTAACAATAATAGTAATAGCAATAGTAATACTGTTGATGGAGGAAATCTTGCACCACCTAGGGGCCCTACAGTACTGTAATTCCTAGGACTTGAGGACTTAAGGTGGTGCAAGATTTCCTCCATCAACAGTAGTAATAGTAATGATAGTAGTAATAATAATGATACTAATAACAAGAACATCAGTATTTCTTGCTGAAGCCACAGTGATGCCAAGCTTTCAGGTCCTCAGCCTTGGAATGATGTGCATAGATGAAGACGAGGAGGAGGACAGGAAGCAGTACAAGTACCTCGGATTCTATAGGCTCATATGTGTATAAGTTTATATAATATAGGAGCCTGAATAATTACCAATATTATGGTTCCATATTCCTTGTATGATTATAGTATACGGCACCTCGAATGGACCTCAAAATGATGTTGGTAATTATTTAAGCCCCTGTAGTAGGGGGTTATATGAGCTATAGTCTAAACTCCTCAGTAATACCTGAGGTAATCTTATCATCATTGACGTGGTGCTTTGTTTAGTCACAGGTATGTACATAGTTCTTGGCCTCCGGAGTTCATTCTGCACGGTTCTGGTTTGGAGCTCGCAGTGCTCGCGACAAAAAAATGGTCTCTAAACTCTGTCCCCCTGAATAACCCCTATAATGTTCCCGTATATAATCCCCGATATAGCCCAATTGAAGGAGTTTAGACTACAGCTCATGTAGGGCTATAGGGGAATGGAGACGGAAATGGAAACTACCATACCAGTACTTGGGGTCGAAACTTACGCCTCAAATCTGATTATTTGGGCTACAGGCCGCCGCAGTTTTCTAAGTTGATGTTAGGAGCTTAAACTAAGTTACCATAATATGGGCATATTGTAAATGATGGGGTTTCCCTTATTGTAGTAACTAAGCCTGAACCCAAAGTCAAATCTAGTAACTTAATTTAAGTTCCATAACAGCAACCCAGATTTTCTTGAGATAGGGCGTTCACCATCAGCTTACCTTTCATGTTACAGGGTTTAGGGAGTGAGATTTAAGGTTTAGGGTGTGGAGGCAGCTACCAGTATTGGCCCCAAAGCTCCTCATCATGCTCACTAAAGATGTAGCTTTTGCATCTGAAACGGCAACAGTGACCTGACAAACATTGCTTGGACCCGGCAATTTCTTCGTCTGACCGGACACCGTTGAAGGAGGAGGACGATAGCACCTGGTGTCGGTCTCGTGATGCAGAGCCCTGAGTTGCATATTTCTTTTTTTTCTTGGGATGCACTAGTATGATTGCATTCTATGTGGGAGCTTGTATGAAGGTACCACAGGCCGATGTCCGTAGCTTTTCCCTCCTCTGCCCTCCTAAGTGCCTGTAAGCTCGCGCAAGTTTGCGTTGCGCGCAGGTTTGTGGGCTTGGTGTTTCAGGTTGCTCAAGCCGCGTTTTTCAGGCAATTGGTTGAGATTGCCGCAGGTTTCGCGCAAGGTAGCGTAGGTCATAGGTTTTGTTGTTGAAGCAAGTGCCGTGTAAGCAGAAAGCCCATGTGCAGAAGCTTGCGCAAATCGTCCACGGGGTCTCAGCTCATGATGCGGCATGTTTATATGGCGTCGCTGTATGTTGATTGTTTCGGGTTCCCCTGGAATCGGCATCTACAAGGGGATGACCATTTTCTGATGTGTAAGTATCTTCCAAGCGAAATGAGAAGTTTACCACGGAAAGTGCATTTAAGATGTTAGGAGGTATTGAGGGGGATCCTCATACGAGAAGATACGATTCATCTCGGAAATTACGCATACACATGCTTGGATGTATAGAGTATAGGGGGCTTCCATGTGAACTGACGGCATGAATCGGGAAATGACAGTATCTCATCATCCCATGTTGGGGCATGTGTAAAGCCGGCGTCCACCAGCGTCTACATGGGCAAGCATACCAAATTTGGGCCTTGAATCCTGTGATGTTATACTCAAACCCTAGCCTCCGCAGCAGAACGGGAAATCTGCCCTTACGTTGGTTTGCCCTGGAATCAGCGTCTACATGGGGATTAGCATTTTCTGAGGTGTAGACATCCTGCTGAAGTGAAATCTTCCCAACCCCAGCGTCTGCAGTAGATGACATGTATTCACACCGGGTGGGGGGTACTAACCCCAGCGCCTTACTACTATAAGTACTTCTTTGGTACTATCATTGGCTTCCATGTGTGCAGATGGCCCACGAAGCCAAGGCGCGGGAGTATCCATCTCTATCCTTCATTTCAGATGAGGCCCGACACGGCTGCTTCCCTATCATGGGTGAGAGTAGGAAGTATATGGGGGTTTCCCAAAAATCAGGGGTACTTTTTTGGGGGGTCCCAATAATAAGGATGATCGTATCTAGGGGTCGTTAGTCTGTAATGGGGTCCCCCTATTTAGGGAGACCACCATAACCCTAAACCCATAACCCTAAACCCCTAAGCCCAGAACCCTTGGCTTGTCCTAGGAATGCTGGTGAGTGTATATTCTTGGTGTCCACTTCGGGGAGGCTCGTGTCTTAGTCCTACCGTAGGCTTTAGGGCGAGGGCCCTTGGATAATATAGGGTTTAGGGAAATCTAGGTTACGTAGGGATAATATAGGGATAACTGATGGAAGAGAAAATGGAAACTACTACGATGGGGTTATATAGGGTTTAGGGTTAAGGGTTTGGGGTTATATCGGGATAATTTGACAAGAACATGGAAACTACTACAATGTGGTTGTATAGGGTTTAGGTTTGAGGGTTTGGGGTTATATAGGGATAATTGGAAAAGAAAATGGAAACTACCATATGTACGTGATGCAGGAGGAGGAGAGGCCGACTTTGTGCAGCGTGCCGGGCTTAACCTTCTGCACCACTTGATCCCTGAGCTGGTTCGTCTTGATGCAGCTGCTGCCAAGGTCATGTGATCAAAATACCCAGCGCTTCCTTTGCACCATGGATTCTTTGAGATCCCTCATGCTGAGAAATCTGCAAGTTGATGCAAGTTGCAGACGAAACGCGTGGCCACATCCCCCTCCAGTACTACTGCTTGTATCAGTCTCGTTCGTATTCTTACCCATTACCGCTATGCTTACTATTGTCAGTACTCTTTTCTTGTTATGTTCACTTCTACTGCAATGTTAGAACTGTGATTTGACTTTTGTTATGACTAGCATTGCCCCTAAACCCTAATCCCTAACCATAAACCTCTAAACCCTAACCCCTGACCATAAACCTCTAAACCCTACACCCTAATCCGTAAACCTCAAGCCTCTAAACCCTAATCCCTGAACTGTTGGCTTGATTAGGGTATATTGGGGTTATATTAAGGCTATATTTGGGTTAGATTAGGGTATATACTAGGGTTAGTTGAGGGTTACTTATCATTATACTAGGGTTAGTTTAGGGTTACTTATCATTATACTAGGGTTAGCTTAGGGTTACTTATAATTATAATAGTTTCCATTATTCAGCACAAAGGCCAGCTTTTGAGGGCTCCATTGGTTTCCGTGCAGAAGCGACCCAGGTCTGGCCGCGTCGAAGCGCGAAGCTACTTTGTAGCCATCATCTTGACATAGTCTAAACGCGTAAAAGGGGTTTTATAGGGAGTTATATAGGTGATGGTATAGGGTTTAGGGTTGATGGTGGGAACTCCTTAAAGGGGGATGTATAGGGGATTATGCAGGGGACTACTATAAGGGGTTATATGGAGTTTAGGGTCTAAACTGCTTAGGGCCATTAAGGGCGATACTCGCAGTTAAGACTATAGCTCATTTTATAGCCTTAGAGTATCATAGCATCATATTTCTATGGTATTATACTTATACTGTTGCAGCATGGTTGTGTTTTGGTTTTTGTTATAATACAAGAATGATATAGCATTATCGCATTCTAGCTTTATAGCATTATAGTACCAAAGTAGTATAGTGGTAGTGTATAGTGATAGTGGTATTAGTACGAGCATTGGTATTTTCCATTAGTAGCATGTTGGCATTCTATTCGTAATATTTTGAGTAGTGCTAGTATCACTGCTACAGCCATTACTGCTATGACTACTACCGATTTCTGCCCGTGTCACGACTAGAAGGTAAAACTTTTATCTGTGGCACACACATGGAAGTTTCTGATAATCAGAGGCCCCTTTGGGGCAGTCCTTGCACTCAGGACTACCGGATAGTGGGTTCCATATTCGGGTCCTCGATTCAGTATAGCCATCAATATAGGGTAAGATTATACCCTCCTTTTGGACTAGTACTTCATAAGAAGAACAGAATCTCATTTGGTTCAACCACCAGCAACTTCTCACATGGAGGGATGGTCAAACTGATGGCCCCTTCTTGGATACCCGAAACATCGGGGGGGGGCCATACCATGATTGCGGCCCAAAAAAGGTATTGTACTTTGACAGCCTGCCAATTTCTACCGTCTAGTCCATACAGTTCTCCATTATTGGGGGTGATACCCCTATATAACCCCTACAATATCCCAATATATACATATACCCTAATATATAATATTGTAGTAGTTTCCAGCTTCTTTCTCTTTACCCCTATATATAGCGACTATATAACCCCAAATGTTTTTAACAACCTACCACATGGCTTCATGTCAAACCTGTTGTGCTTCGGAGCTTCGCCTCAGATGCCACTCGTGGCATGAATTACCTGTGGTTTGCAAGGAAAGAAGGAATGGATCCTCATACTAGCCTCTTCATAATCCTCCAAAATATGGTAGCTTCCATGTTCTTGTCCATTCCGTCAGTGCCTGCCAACCAGTGGTAAGATGAACGCTTTAATGTTTTATGGTCCATCTCCCTTGCGCGCAACAGCCGTCACCTCTTGGTCTCGCGGCTGGGGAGCGGGAAGTTAGCGTCTGTCGGCTTGCGAACTCTGAAGCTGGCAGTGTCCTGCAAGCTGCTAAGACTTGACAACGAGCGAGCAGCGAATTCGAGCGATGCGTCCTTTACCATTGGAGTGTCCTTGCAATCCTAAGAGCGCAGATTTGCAAGGAGCCTTATAACCTTGCTGCT